TCACCAACATGTCAAAATCTGACTATGACCTGTTGAAAATCATGATCCATTATATTCATGCATGTGAAAAAAATGAAAAATAAAATAAAATTCTCATTTTACAAGTAATCTAACGAAAAACTTGATTAAATAACAAAATATATTAATAATTTGTTTTATATTTTAAATACATATTTTTTATCAATCATAAAAACACATGTAACTACATCATTTATATTTTCTTGTAATAATAAAAAAATACCAAATTATTATAATAATTTTAACCAAAAAATCTTATTAAATTCATAAAACATCATCCCCCCTCGTTCTCCCTCTCCTAGTCCCTCGTTTTTCTCCTTTTGTTGTCTTCCTTCTTTGTTCTTTTTCTCCTCCTTTTTTCTTCTCGGTCTTTCTTTTCCTTTCCCCCTTCGTTCCTCCCCCGGCTCGCGTTCTCTCTCGCTCTCTCTCTATCTCCTCTCTCTCTCTCGCTCTCTCTCGTCCTCTTCTCTCATCTCTCTCTCTCTCCTCCCCCCGCCCCCTCCCCTCTCTTCCTCTCCCTCTTCGCCCCCTGCTTTCCTACCCCTCCCCCCCTCCCTGGGTCCTCCGCCTCTCTTTGTTTCCCCCCCCCCCCTCTTCCCCACGTCTCGCCTCTTTTTTTTCCGCTTTTGCTCGCGTGCTGTCCCTCCCCCTCCACTTCTCTCTCCTTCTCTCTCCCCCTCTCCCTTTTTTCCCCTCCTCCCTTTACCCTTTTTCCTTTTATCCGCTTTTATTTTTTTCTTTTTTCCCTTCCGCTCTCTTCCCTCTCCTTTCCCTTTTTCCCCTTTCCTATCGGCAGCCCGTTCCCCTCCCCCCTTGTCACAAACTTCACTTTCGCTCTTTTCTCCTTCCTTTTTCCTTCGTTCACACCCCCTTTGCCCGCCCCCTCCGCAGCTCCCCTGCCCTCCCTCTTTTTTTCTTTTATTCACTTTTTATTTTGTATTCAACAAACATATTTCTCTTTCATTGCACCATCGTAAGCACAAATGTAATTTTAAGCATACATTTTTAAGTTTGATTATTTAAAGATAAGAAAATGGGGAAGAAATATTTAGCAAATTATATTATGAAATTATGATACTTCAAAATTCATCAGAAGTTAATAAATATTTTAAATTTATATCATACAAAATTTGTTTTTTCTTGTCAAATTTTATGTTAGAAGTGGAAATAAAGAGAAAAAGAGACAATACGTTGGATGGATGGACGGACGGACGGGCTATTTGATTTCTTTAGTGAAAAGTTATTTATCTGATCTTACTCGTACAATTTTATTGTAGTTTTGCTATGGTCAAATATAAATCAATTGTGCTACTTTAATTCAAAACGGTTTAACGTTGAATTTTATTGAACTATCCACGTCATCCCAAAATTATGTAATTTTTATTTAACTTAAAATAATCTCTTAATACTGAATTTCTCGTATTCAACATTTTGGTTTTAAAGGATCCACACAAAATTTATATAATTAATTAAAAATGTTTTTCGTATTTATAGAAACCAAAATGTTGACGGAGCTTTTTCATTTACAGAATGGAATGGCATAGTTGACAAATAACTTCATCTTTTGAATGTATGAAAAGAAAATTCAGTCTTCTATAGTTCAGCTGTTTGACAAAATTACACTTGAAAAAAATTAGTCATGCATGAACTTCAAGACTAATCTTTTCAGCAACAAAAAGTTCCATCCACAGCAAACGAAAACCAAATTTGGCCTTTAAGCATCACTTTCTCTTCTTTGTTGCTGCATCACAAACACAGTAGCCTTGCCAGCAGCATCAGTTGAAGCCACAAAATCTCCAAGCACCCCAAGTTCTGGATACTCACTCCACTGCAACAACCCAGATGTTTGAGGAGTTTCAATCCCAGCTTGTCTTCCAACAATGATCAAATCATACTCCTTCCCCAACTTCCGAATCACCAAAGCCGTCTCAGGTCCATCCTGCACAATCTTCTCTATGTAATTCACATTAGTCTCACCCACCTTCCCGTTAATCCTGATATCATTCAGAATCTCAGTGTCAAGCAGTTCCTGCAAATCCGTTACCTCCGAATAATTATTCCTAGCCAAAAACCTGACCACAGTGAGTCTGACATGCGGATTCTTAGTCATCCTCTTAGCAAAGTAAAGTGCTTCTCTATCATCTTTCCCTCCAATGAAAAGCATGCAAACAGTGTAAGGCGTCTCTGGGGAGAAATATGCGTCATTTGCATTCTCTCCTCTCAATCAATATCCCAACAAACCAGGGAGCTCTCCGCATGACACGAAGTTCAACTCTCTCAGAGACTCATCTTCTATCTCAATGCTGTTGCCATCAGAAGACCACTTTTTATGAAAGGGAAGAACAATGAGGGAGGTGAACTTGTTCAACGCCAAAGTTCATATGTCATCGTACAAAAAAAACGAGGCAAGAACACATAACACAACATGAACTCAGTTGGTGAGATGGTGTGAGGTGTTCACCACCAGTGCCATCCTTGAACTCGTGCTCGAAGTTTTGGAACGCATCGATGAGTTTGTCTGCCATGGAAGCGTTTGAGTCGTGTTTTTTCTTTGATTGGAGTTGGTGAGAGATGAAGACAGGAGCTGCTCTTCCGATGAGTTCTATGAGCTGGAGGGCGTAGACACAGAGAGGGTTGTCTTTGGTGGGGAAGGTGGCTTCGAGAAGGTTGATGGTCGGAGGAATGTTGTCGGGTCTGTGGATGCATGTGAGAACTCGAAGCTCGGAGTTGTTTTTGAGGTCAAAGATGTTTCGCTTGGTGTAGTTTCCTGCATATTTCTTCATGGGGTCGTAGAGATATGCCAGAAGAAATGGCCCCACTGTAGCACTCAGAATTATGCTCACTATCACCAATGCCAACACGTTGTCTGGCATGCCCTGCATTAAAGACATAACGAACACAAACATTATCCTAGAATCATGATTCGTTTGTTTTTGCTGTCAAACTCATGTACAATGATTCTGGAGCAAGAGAGGTGAAGTAATTAAGAAGACATGAAAGAGAGTGCTAACCATGAGATCTCTGATTATAGAGAATCCAGCCAATTCAACTACGCCCTTGCAATTCAAGACCAAAGAGAGAGAAACTGAGTCACTGAAGGGCACGTTGTGGTACAAAGGAAGAAGCATGCATACAACAAATTTGACAGTGCTAGTTACTGCAATGATAATCAGGGCTTGCAACATGAACTGGTCAATTCCTCCACTCACTTCGTCTCTCCATTTCATGAAGTCTCTGAGGTCCACCCTCATCACACATGTGGTCACAAAGAGAGGCATGAACATCCAGTTAACAAAAGTGTCAATCTTTTTTATAACTGCAGTGCCTAATGGAGGCCCTTCTGGGGTAGCCATGCCCAATGCAAAAGGGCCAAAGAGAGCCAAAAATCCAATGCGATGTGTGATATAGGAAGCCATAAAAGCCATTATGAGTATGAAATACACATAGTGATCACTAACAGGAGAACCCTCTGGGGTCTGTTTTATGATCCAAAACATGGCTGGGCGATATACGAACATAACAATTAGCAGAAACAAAATGAAAACTATGAGGCAAAACCAGGCTTTTTCTGGATCACTGGACAAAATTTTGGAGATACTAAGGTTTGATGTGAAGACCACATTGAAGAGCTCAGTAACCAAAGCTGTGGACTGGCTTAATCTACCTAGCTCCGAATTCAGAATCTTGAGATCACTTAATACTGTTCAAATGTTAGGGAAAGGAGTCACCGAGAACACACCAGTGATAAGTCTAACTTTTGCTACCTGATCACTGTTCAGGTATTTTGTGGATTATAAATTTACAACAGTCATGCTGCATATAAATGGAGCCAGTATAGTAACACACCCTTTGGTGGCTGCACTACTTTTGGTCCTGGGAATCACACTCACGTCTGTTTTCACCCCTGTGTAGAACAGGAAAAGCATGTAGCCAAAAACTGAAAGCATTCCCAGACTTGCCTGAGAGTCAAAAAAGAACAACTCTCTACTCTTCCGAGCCCATTCTTCAGTGAAGCTGGTTGCAAGTATCAGGCCAACCTGCTCAGAACACCCACCACCATGTGTTAGTTAATATCCAAAACAGTAACAATTCTTGCATCTGCACAATGCCTATGATGTTATGGACACGATCAACTAAAAAGCTTAAAGATGCATCAAATAATGGTATAAAAAAAATCATGAACTGAAAATGAATAAGTACATGTTTAATATTATCTTAATCTTCCTATTGGTTAGTACTCATGCGAAAGTAATTTGAAATTGACAAGTACATTAAAATGGATATTGTGGCATGCATGTTGAAGGGAAGAACTTACAATGCTCATGGAAGTGAATCTGGGGAATCTTAGACGGCCCAGAATGTTGTGCAAGAGAAAGGTTGCAAGAAAGATAATACATATCTGCATCTCCAACATTGGAAAAGCATTAGTTGGAAG